TTCAAAGAACGATTAAAAACAGTTTACTTTGAGTTATAGTTTGCCTGTACCGTCCAACTCTATCTTGTTTCGTTACTCTCTATAGCTTCAGATAAGCTTCGTTATGCGGTCTAACTGTTAAAACATTCCCCAAAACCGTACTTGCTCCTTTGTTTTTATTCTTTGCATTCTTTTGTAATTCTTGAATTTCAAACGATTGCAATTGTGGAAATCTTTGGTTATTTACAACTACCGCCATGTATTTTTTTGAATTGAAAAAAAATTTGTTTGGCTTTCACTGTTTTTCAGCCAATCAGGTTACAGTATTTATGGTGCAACTATACTTTTCTACTGAGCAATTACAGATAAACTGCATTGCAATCAACCAGTCACAGTTGAGAAATATCTCATAGCATATTATTAGTAGTTTGTTTGGGCCTTGTTCTATTAGCGAAATTTCTTAACGAAATTCGTGTATTTTTGTGCATGTGTTCTAAAATGACTAACTTATAGCAACCTTGTTGTTTAGTCGCTCACAATATTTGTTTTTTAGGTTCACTCAGTTTTGGTGGGTGAAAAGAGGATTGGGAAGAAAGAAGGCAAACAATTTAGTCGCTCTTTGGGATTTTCTTCTGTAAGTTGATAAATTTCTAAACACCATGTATATTTGAATATTCGATAAAAGTACTCGAGGTTTGATTGACTTTGGCGTACCACACAATACAGAATTTGAGTTAACTATTTTTTGCAGATTTCTGTTGTCCCTACGAAACATAGTGATTACTCTCATGGTTTGGTACTTGAACGCAATGGATGGAAAATCGTTTATTCTGCTGACACAAGACCTTGTAAACAGTTAATTGATGCCGGTTAGGAGAAACGGACAAATCTATTCTCTTTTATTTCGCTATTTCTCTACTGCATCATTTTTTCACGAGTAACGAAAGGAAAAATTTTATTGTGGTGATATGGCCTTATCGAAATATTGCCCAATCTCATTAAGTTGTTGCTTGTTTTATAAAGAGCAGTCGTTTAGTTAATAACAGGTTTAGATGCAGCAAAATATGTTTTGCTACTTACGACTGGAAGATGCTTTTTTTGAGCAACAATAAAAATGAAATCTGTTCTATGTCCGTCTCCCTGTCCAGGAAATGAAGGCAACCTGTTTCACCCTTGTTTGGGCATTCGGCAAGAGCCATCGTGAATAGCGAAATCTTTTCGCAAAGACTGAGCTTTTTTGCTAATCTCAAAAAAATTTATCCTATTTTCAATTATATAACATTTTATTTTTTTGCGAACGCGAATTTCAATGTGTCTTTCGTTAAATATATCATAAAGGACTCGCGTTGGCAGTTTCCTTTCACGTTATCCGTCCTCTGAATATCTGGAAATTCTACTGGTTAACTCTAGATTAATTTCCGAAGACAAGTCTTTTCGCCACAATCATTGGAAGAAATATTTACTTTTTTGTTGCTATAGGTGAAAATGCGACATTACTCATTCACGAGGCAACATTCGATGATAAACTGCTTTACAGAGCGAAAGAAACTGCTCATTGGTAATATAAGTGAGGCAAACTATGTCTTGCTCTTTTTATATTCAACTTGCTATTTCATTGTCCATACTCCTGTTTGTAAACCTTTGTGTCTCTCTTATGTAGTACCGTATCTGAAGCAATCAAATGTAGTGAACTGATGAAAGCCGAGTACACGATTTTAACACACATCAGCAATCGACATATTTTTCCCTGTAAATCTTCAAGACTGCCTCATAACGTGAGCTTCGCTTTTGATCATATGACGGTATGTTTCATGTCACGTTTCGATTGGGAAAAAAGGCTGTAAAATTAAAGATTGTACATGTCGAAATTACTGTTTTGCAAAGTATCTGCAAACGTAGCGAATTTTGGTGTTTTTCCAAAGGGAGTTTATCGTTATAGGTTGAGCAAAAAGATCTTAAAAATATTCGTGGAATAATGGCAAATGTTGAGAGAACCTTTGTATACCAATGGAAGAAAAAAAGAAAACAGAAGCAAGCTGTTAAATCAAAAGACTCTCCCATTCTTGTGAATTCTTAAAATGTCCATTCACCAACGCAGACATCAACTTGATATTTAGTGAAATACTGTTCTGCTAGAAAATGCCCGACTAAATATTTCGACTGGCGTAGCTACTTAACCGAACGAATGAATTCTTTGCCTTCAAACTTACAGGCTTGCAAGTAATTTTGAATTGAAATTACCTAACATTTAGTTTTATATAGCTAATCATACCACTCCAGAAAGTTTTTTTTACATTGTGTAGACTCAAGGTGTCTCAAAGGGGGTAATTTTTTATACTTTCTATTGACAGATAGATAGGCCGACCCCGACAACTGAAGCAGATTTTTGCGTGGGGTTTAAGAAAAGCATGAACGAAACATTAGCACTATACTTACAAAATTACGAGAAAGGTATTTAAGAGTTATCGAAACACTCGGCAAGTTTGAGAAAACGAGAAATTCGTTGGCGAAGTTTATTGATTTTAATTACATTTCCCGCGCAAACATGCAACTTTCAGATGTGACAACCAATCAGCGCCTGTGTTTATAAAATGCTGTTTATGAAGTGTTATATTTACTGACTGTCAAGCCGATTTTAAATTCAGCCAACACTCTCTCGTCATAGCTTATAGCCAATGCTAGGCAGCGTATATCAGTGCATTTTGTTGCAATTTCGAACGATTTTGTTTTATTCTTGCATTGCATTTTTTAATCGCCACTTCAATCAAAAGTTCGAGAAATGCAAGAGATTGCTCAGAGAAAATTGACATTTCTTTATTTCATGACTGATATAAGTAGAATGCAGTTTAGCCTGCACCAGTAGCAGACCAGTAGCCATTTTACGTTAAACGTTAGATTGTGGGCACATATAGCAGTAATGGCGGGGAAATGCAAATCAACAACAACACTGCAAAACGCCATTTCCACTCTCGAGTCTCGAGTGTAAAAGCAAAAGCAACGTTATAGAAGAAAGCTTTATGGGTATTATGTGAATAATGGTTAGGGTTATGTCCAGGCCTTCTAAATTTTAATTAAATCCAAGCAATGGGCACAGAATAGATATCTGAACAGAATGTCCACTCGTGTTGGAACCTCTGATGTTTATGTGCCCCGCTATTCTGAACCAAATTCTTAGCAGACACGCCTTCCAGCAAGATACTTCCACTAGATCGCAATAGAAAATATAGATGTTTTACGAAAATTATCATTTTGCACAACAAAAGCTTGCAAACTTATCTTCTTTGCAATATGATAATTATTTGTAAAAATTTCGTTATACGTTTGCTTTAAACGTGAACCATGGGTAAAATAGCATTCTGGTGCAATACTATTCCATATTGATTTTGTGAAAGTATCTTGTTGCGTGCGTAGTAAAAAATATGCCTCGATTTTAGCCGAGTGGACCTTCTGTTAGATGTCTATTCTGTACTATGTCAGCAACTGGTGTCCTCTAGACTCTAAACTTCACTTGATACATGACCAATGAGAAATCGGATATCGCGGCGTTTCAATCGCCTGTTGACGGATGACAACTTGCGGCAAGCTACTTGCCTATATTCCCTATATTCAGTCGCACACAGTCGCAAGTCGTGTTTTCGTTGTTTAATTTGTAAAAAATTACTTTTTGCTCAGCGTCAATAAATCGTGATTTATGTCAAAGATAGACATTTTAACCTCTTGCACTAAGGATGCTACAGAAAAACCAACTGTGCATCTTTTACCGTGCAAAATAGAGCACAATGGCGAAGCTGAAGTCGACGAATATTTTCAAAGTTGTATTAAGGATGATGGAAAGGGAATGAAGAAAGGTTTGATGATTTGCATTAAATATTTTATTTTGAAAACTTCAGCTAGCGGAATGTTGACTTTCTTGAGCGGGTGGGTAGTGTGAGTGAAATAACTTCCCCAACCCTCCCACTAGACTAGCCTTGATTTGAAGGGGGCAGGGAGTGCAAATTTCCCTGATACCAACCAATTGAGCTGAAACAACTGTCAAACTACACATTTCTCGGGAGTTTATACAAACCCACCTAAACTCTGACATTTGAAGGGACAGCGAGACGCACAAAGGAGCCACCAAAATCTACATCCAAACTAGACTGGTTAGACCAAACGACATCTCACAAAAACTAGGGCCTCCTCCCAACAAAATCATCCATAGTTCAGTTCCCCTTCTTTAGTAGTAAAGTTGCATGTTCATTCGTACCTTCCCTAATCAATTTTTCTGTAGACAATCCATATGTGTGATACATAGGTGTGCTAGATGTAACCACATAGTTACTTTAGAATTTGAATGTCCTTTTCTGAATTGTTGTACCTACCAAAGCCATCATTAGAGAATATACATAATATTGATCCTAACACAGTTTTATATGCACATGTGACTGGAGGAAATTGGAACTTGCCCCTTCAGGATACTAGTCGGCTGCTCTACCTGTTGAGCTATCAAGCCCACAGTAATTCCAAGGCCATCATTAGAGAATATACATAAAGTCAAAACATTGTGCCATCCAGGAAAACTGCTATTTTGGCGAGAATCTCTTATCCATATGCAGTTTAAAAGAAATTTGACTTGTCTCCAAACCCTGTGGGCAAGGTAGCTCAACATGTAGAGCGTCGGACTAATATCCAAAGGTGCGATTTCAAATCTTGTCCAAGTCACATGTTTTTTCATGTGTATATAAAACCGTGTTAGGATTAAGTATTTTGTACCTACCAATTGTGTAACTTTTGGTATGAAGTAGTTGCTGGGATGAAGTATGTAGGATGCATTTGAATTTTCTAAAAAGTCAACTATCCTGAAAACACTTTCCAGACAAATTGAGTGAATATGTTTTTAGTAAAAAAAGCTGTTCACTTAAAATCTTCTCAAACCACTCCCCAGGATTCACCTCCCTGTAATATGAGTCTGTGTGTAGTGTTGCTTAGCCTAACCATTCCAGCTTAACTTCCTTTAATTTTACTTAAAGTTTCATTTCGTGGCATGTTAATGGGTGAGAAAGTTGCTATACCAGATGGATACAGTGGTAAGATAATGTTGATTAAACTGTATTCACATACTTAGTACCTTTATTATTTGCTTTGGTACTATATTAACATGCTTGGTACCTTTTTATTATTTTTTGCTTTGTTGTGTATGTGAAAAAAATAACTTCACTCATTGTACCTTTTGGAACAGCTGCATATTACCGTACCATATAAACACATAAACATTAATGATCTTTATGTATGTTAGTCATCAAGTGGCCTGTGTAGCTAGTCTCTGTGGCTCCCAATGTTGAGGCACAGCATATCCGTAGGAAGAGGCCATCTCAAGTGATTTTGAGGTCACTAAGTTAGGCAGCCTATAAATTTGGTCATGCTATGTTAATGCTGCTCTTCAAAGTTTTTTGATAAAGAACAAATGTGGCAATATGACAAAAGTGTTCAGCGCTTGTCAAAAAATCACAGGAGGTGACCTTTTGTACATATGTTGACTCAATAGCATATCAATGACATTAAATGCTTACAAATAATCACCAGTGAAAAGCTTCATTTTTCAGCATTATGTATGTATCAAAAGAAGCCCTTATTTGAGAACATGGCTCTCTAGCACACACTTGGGTTTGCATGGGAAAGTACAAGCAGTTAAGTGCATTTTTTAAAAGTTAGCAGATGCCTTTTGATTTGGGTCTTCAAAACTCAACCCAACTTTAAAGAGCTATAAGTTTGTAAATTAAACTTTCTTACATTGCTTGCAGTTGCAGATATATAAAATCATGATATCATAGGGCACTGCAATTTAGTTTTGCTTTGGTTTCACAATTTCAGAGGTTAATCATGCCCCTAATATAGTCAAAGTTGTTTACTTAGTATCCACCAGGTCTTCTTTAGGTAGTCAACTTTGTAGATTTGGTGACCATGTTACTTTTACATGTATGTAGTTGATGAACTTAGTCATTGGCATCAATCCCATTTTAACGAGGGGGACCACATTCTTATATTCTGCTATTCCTGGGTAAATTTTTTTTCAAAACAATTTCACTTTCTAGAGAAATCAGCCCTTCACAGATTATATGGTTTCCCTCAATTAATATTGATGCCATGAACTTAGTACACTTACTAAGTAGACAAGATAAGTATTCTTACCAAGGGCCTAGGAAGATCAATGATTGGGAGGAGGAATATTCATATATTCATGATAGGAAGTGTTAAGCTCTTTTGAAATCCATTGTTTTAAAACGAATATAACATGCTTATATAAATATTGCTCTCCAATTATCGATCTTCTTGTTGTCTTGACTTTTACAATTTTGCCAATGACTTTTACTTAGTAGTAACCTTTTCAAGATCTGTTATCCTTTTTGGTTCACAGGAATGAAATGAATCTGTGTAAGTTTTTTATTTCAGGCTATCTTCTCAGGGAGAATCATAAACCTGTCACTGATGACCAGGTGAGCCTTCGATTTTAGTGAACAATATATTTTGTCAAAACATTTCATTAATATAATTATAATTTTTTTATAAGTTTCACACAATGTGTGTTTGGTGTATCTTATAATTTTATTGCTTTTAGCTAATATTGAAACTATTACAAAACTTAATTTTTAGGATAGATCTTTTCGAGCTATAAAAAGATTTTCTGAATTCACACATTGGAATCTTGAGGACAGGCCTTGTTTAAATGACAAGATCAGAAAGGCAATGCAATGGATTTACATTTCTTCAGCGGTGAGAACTTTCTATAACATTCATCGTCATCAATGTCCATTAATAAAGTAAATGGTTTGAACCCGGGAGTACCGTTACGTGTTTGTAAATGTAGATCGTCCAGGTTGGTATAGTTTTGTTGTTGTTGCCTGACGTTTCGACAACCTTAGCGGTAGTCATCTTCAGAGTCAAATGAGGAGTAAACGTCAGGTTATCCGTATTTGTTATCTGGTTCTTACGTCATTGTATTGTGTGTACAGGAAATGTGTATTGTCATTGTGAATTAGTGTGAAGTGAAATATTTTTATTTTTAGTTGTCATGTGTGATTTAGGTGTGATGTTTTTAGTTGTAATGTGTTGGTGTCAATTGTGTATTGTCATTGTGAATTAGTGTGAAGTGTAATGTTGTTAGTCGACCGTTTGTTTGTATTGTGAATAAGTCGTTTGTAAGGTGCCGATAATTGCTGTGATCTGTTCAGGGAGGTTTGTTACCTAGAACTTAGAACAAACAACAAAAACAGTCCTTCTCAGAACTATACCAACCTGGACGATCTATATTTACAAACATGTAATGTCCATTAATGTTGTAGAAACTTCAGAAACTTTGTACGACGTCTGTCATTGATTCATGTTTAAATTGCTAGAGGTGGAGATTATCACATGCATGAAAACATGTAGATCAATGGATAAGGATTATATGTGTGATATAGCAAAGTTCGATTTGTGTTATTGTACACAGAATTGTGTTTGGCAGAGAGTGTGTTCTGTCCTGGTCAATGTACTGGTACATTGATTTGTAGGGTGATAGGGTATAAGTTAGAGAGTAGTGTTGTGAGTTATTGTCCTGTAAGTTGTGTTTGGAAGAGTGCATCTGCTGTTCCAGTTTCTATAAAAGGATGATATGATTTATGTACGTAGTGGAAGGAGCAGAGAGCTGTGTTTAGAAGAGAACTTGTGCTAGTATAAGTGATTTCAACTGTCCAACTGCTGTAATGATTGAGAAATATACTTCAAGTGCAATTTCACTTTCCAACATAATCAAATCAAATGTGGTAATAGTGATTTACTTTAGGACTTACTCAATCAAAGATAATTCTCCAAAATAAGATGTGTTTTTTGCCAAAATTTAGATACATCAACCTGTGAAGACTGACACTGTTATGGCAAAAATTACATGACAATGGTCGAAGTGGTAATTTCTAATTCTTACCTCAGGGTGGAGAAGGATGATGTTTCAAAGTGTTCTTCCTCTGATGAACTAGAAGAAGAATGTACATTTCATTCAATTTCAATTTTTTATTGAAAGTTTATGTCAATCATAATTGATCGTTAATCATTTATTCCGATTGATTTCAATCCAAACCAAAATCTGTATATAACATGTACATTGGAAAGCTACCATTGGTGCTGCTTTCTTTAACATACGTAGATTGTGGAAGAGAAAGTGAGTTGTGGATTGCTTGAATAGTGTTATCTTTTGTCTGCAACACATGCGTATAGTTCTTTAAATTACAGCGATCTCGTGGTTGTCTTTTAATAATATTTTATGAGTTTAAACTTGTGATCGTGCGTGAAAACTAATGGGGTCTTCGATGTGTTCATTTTTTACATTTTATATTCTTGTGCGAAAACGTTTTCTGATATTTATACGTTTTCAAGGAACAAGTTATCCAAAATTCGTATCATTAATGGACATCATCTTTTAAGTATAGGAACAGTCTGGAAATTATTATACATACGCTTTTTTCATTGGTAATATATCTGGGCCAGGTTTTTTGCAACCCGCTTGTCTTATGTTCTGCTGAAAGCCTTAACACACCATTCTTACGCGCATCATTGTCGACACATTTTCCCTGTACGCAAATCTTCGTGACTTCATCATCACGTGAAACGTTTAAATATTTTCTGTTTAAACAGTATTAACTGTTTATGGAGTTAAATGAGTATTCTCTACAATGATGAATGGTCTCAAAAAAGTAATCATTCAAAATTAACTAAAAGATATCGTAGTTTAAGATGAAAATAAGCATTTTTCTTACCGATGGCATAAGGACATTTGCCTATATTTTTCAAAATTTAACTGTTCTTTATTCAAAACTTTAAATAACGACAAACAGCAACGGCGAAAACACGTTTCAGCGGTTAAGGAATATTCTCGAGTTACTTAATGTTGAGCACAAATAGTCAAGAGCAAACCAGTTTTGTTACAAAGTCTTTGGCGTGCGTTTATTATGGAATGTATTCGTAAGGCAAAAATCTTCCCATTCAATACAAAGTTTATCAAATTTCTTATTTGAAAATGGCGAATATCTTTGCAAACAGCTTGACTGTTCTCATCAAGCTTTAATATCATGTCGCTAAACTGCCATTGCTCCAATTCTCATCAATATAGGCACTCATACCATTTACAGGTTAATGTCAACAAACTTTTTGAATAAGAAACTCGACTGTTTGATAGTTTTGCTAATTTCGATTTGTCAAGTTCATTTTTCTCTGCTCATTATAATTATCGGTTAATAAATGTTTCTTTACTCACCAATGAAAACTCCTTAGTCTGCATGATGATTTTTTTGTCCTGGTGTGTACAGTGTGCTTTGATTTTCTATTCTAACAGTTCAAACATTTTAACTTTGTTTTCACATAAAAGAACTCTTAGATAAGACGAGCATAATAATTAAAACAATTTTTTTGAAAACCCTTTCCAAGTGGACATAATTACTGAGGCATATTTGCATGTTTGCCGATATAAACAAAGATTTTGAATGAAAGTCACAAAACCTAGCAGCAATGCTACCAGTATTTACGTACAGTGAAAAAGCAAAACGTTTTGCATAGAAATAGCAACATCTGTGTCGAGAAAAATTAACTAACTATCTAGAGCCCGTTGTTACACCACTGTAACAATTACCAATCAAATTTGCGCAAACTTTTGAAAAGTCCGGGCTCTGCAAGATTTAAGCCAATGTATTATAGAAGCAGCATGGAGATCAAAACGAGAAAACAATATGAGGGAGTCCTATGAAAATGGAAATTGTACTGCGATCAAAAGGAAGCTAACCTGCTTTTACCGTCCTTGGCAGAAGGTATAAATTTTCTTGCAGAACTGTTTCAGGTAGGCATGGTGTGTAATGGATTAAACACGGCACGAAGTGCTCTCTGCAGTTGCTATCTGGAAAAAAACTTATCATTTGGGTAGCACCTTTGTGTACGACGTTTTATGAAGGGTGTTTTTGAAACAAGACCAAGCCTACCAGAACACAAACATATTTGGGATGTACGTACTCTCATTGAATTTTTACTCTAACTTATGTGTAGCCCCTCAACCTAAAAAACTTAACATTAAAAGTATAACTATGCCTCTGGCAATCATTAGTCTCCTTTGGCGATAAAATCCTCCACCCCAAACGTTGAACTTTGTCCCGTCACAGTATTGAAAGAATATTTTAAAGAAACAAGGGACGTACGTGACAGTAAAATACACAATTATTGATTAGTTATTAAAAGCCACATAAAGCCGTAACATCTAATACTCTATCAAGGTGGCTTAAAGACATCTTGAAAAGGGCTGTTATTACTGACTTCACGGGATACAGCACCAGAGGCACCTTGTCGTCGGCAGCAAAACGGAGTAATGTCGATATTGCAACAGTCTTGCAAGCGCTAGATGAACAAATGCATCTACGTTTAATTGATTTTATAACAGGCCCCTGCAAAATAAAAGCAATTTTGGGCAAGCGTTTTTACACTCCTTTGCACAGGACCATATGTTGGCAAATATCGTGTTATTGTTATTCATTGCATGCGAGCTGTTTTTTCCAGAATATATTGATTCTATATGGTTTGTTACTATCACGTATGCTCATGAATATCTTTGAATATCTCACGTAACTCATTAGTGACGTAGTCCAATGATAAAATAGAATTTAAAAATTAAACGAAACTTACCTGTAAGTTGAAGTTTTATTGTAATTCTAAGAGTTATTGGACAAGGAAACTAAGGAGTCACCAACCCACATTAAAACCATAAAGACCAACTTGGTTTGTTTTCCCACTTTATGGGATTTTTTCGTTATGTTGGTATCACTCGCAGCGTTAAAGACTAGACACTTGATCTGCGTGCGCATATCTCATGTGACGCCTTACTTTCTTTGTTAAATAGCTTATAGACTTACAATGAAACTTCAACTTACAGGTAAGTCTCGTTTAGTTTCCAAATCTACACATAAAATACAGTAGTCACAATTTTCTTGGTTTCTTTGATTTCAGTAGGTAATATGTTAAAATCGGTGAATAAAAATATTGCTATTTCCTTTTAAGAGGTCTTGGATTGTTTTAGTCATCATTGTCTTGTTGCCAGAGTAACTGTTGTAAGTCAAGGTTATTCGAATATTCGAATTAATCTTTAAGACAGATGATCTTTACGATGCATGCAGTAAAACTACTTTAAAATATTGATTTAAAACGTACTCTTGTATAATATATTTCATTTTTATAGTTTGTTGTTGAAATTAATGGATGCTTTTTAATCAAATGAAAATAGTCTTAATACTCATAGTATTACTTATGAAATGATTGAAAATTCTTTTACACGTCGACACTTTAACTTCTATTTGTATTACGTACAGTGATTATGATACAAAACTGTTGATCGACTCTCCTGAAAAATCTGTAAAAGCTTAGAGTATTGAATCCTACTATATATACACAATTACGGTAGCCAATCCTGTTGATTTTTTGTATGGAAACTGCGTCGTTATTAGTTTTCTGTCTTTGCGTAATTAGCTTAGCATCGTGATTCAATCAACATCACAGAAAGATCTGTCTGAGATAATAATTCATGAGATATGTGTCTGAGATAATAATTCATGAGATATGTGTCTGAGATAATAATTCATGAGATATGTGTCTGAGATAATAATTCAAGTTACTACAAGAAAACATTTTGAATAAGGATCGTCAGCTAGTCAGGATTCGGATGACATTTTAATTTATCTAAAATAGCCTCTGCTTTTATTTATTCTCCAAAACCAGGACCAGTTATTCAATGTTTTTAAATTTTTGGGCAATCTCGGGACAAGAGCAGCAAACCACTAAATGCTGTTTAAACAGTGTGTATTCTACCTATCTGTATCTTCGGTGACGGTCGGATGTATAAACAATGGCGAGGAATGCAATTCTGGCAGTTTTCGGTTTTCGTAACCAGTATCTTCATGGGTAGAGTAAAGCATGGGTATAGTTGTCTCAAAAGAATCAATTTACAAGACTCCCTTTGACAGTGCTCTTAATACTTTACATAACATGTCTAAAAATATAATAATTATTTTATGATTTACATTTCTAATGTGGTGCATTACGGTTGATAGAATTACAGATTGCTTGTAATAATTTTCGATGAATATAATCATTGAGCAAGCAAGAAATAGTAAATTTAGCCCAATTTTGGTCAGCAGGTGTGTATGCATGCGTTTGTAATCTCATTATAGTTAAAAAGCTTTGTCATTTTGTGACAGATTTGCGACAGATGCTTGATATTTGTTCACCAAAAAAAGAATACATAATTCTAATTTGCATGAAAAACAGTTGCACTATTTGTAGCCGTTGGATGTTTAGTTACCCTCTTCAACTTTAACGTGAGGGAACAAACTCGGTTTGGATATCTTGAGCTAGCAAAGAGAATTAACAAAAAACAAACAAAATATTGGTTTGTATTGTGGATAGCAGCAAATTATGGATTCTTCTTTAAATGAGTCAAATCATTTCTGTTTTATTCATGAGACTGCTTTTATTGTTCTTTCCAATACCCCAAACATTGGGTTATACTTCAACTATGTACTTGCTTTAGCAGTAGTTCTTTTATTTACTTTGCTTACCATTACTTTGAATCTTGTCACCGTCTTAACTTTTCTATCATCCAGTCATCTGAAAAGGAATACACTTTATTTCCTAGTTTTTCTTCAGTCAATTGTTGATCTCATAAATGGGACATTGGTTAATATTTTGTTCTTCTTAACAGTCTTACCATCAGTCTCGAACTTCAGTGTGAATTGCAATTTATTTCATGCTAACTTTATTATCCACTATATATACTTAGGTTCTTCTGTGTCTGTTCTGTCTTGCATGAATATTGAAAGGTTTTTGAGCATCGTATTTCATGTATACCATCGAAACAAAGTCACAAGACAGAGGTTAATGGCTTACATCTGTACAAGTTGGTTAATGTGTTTCTCTGTATGCGTCATGGGCACTTTAATTAAGAAAGTGCAAGTTATTCAATTCTTTTTTGCCATTCTATCTCTATTTCATTGTGTTGGCACAGTTTTGCCTATGCTAAGATATTTTCCGTTGCAAGACAGTCTGTTTTGCAAAAAAACATTAAAAAGTCTTTGGACGAGAAAAGAATTACTAATTCAAATATTTGCAAAGAACGCTCAAAAAATAAAACTACTGCATGTCCACATTTTCGAAAGAAGAACTTTCCTTCAGCTAATACATTTCGTAATAACTGCATGGGCCAAAACGAAATTCAAAGTATCCG